TCTGATAAAGAGTACATTTATATACATGTTTAAGCCAGAATGATTTGACATTTAAATATGATTTCCCTATGACTTTATTATAGATGGCTTCCTTTATGCCCCTCTCAAACCACCAATGTTCTCTGTCCAAAATGTGAACATGCTGGTCCTCGAAAGAATTTCCTTTGTCCATAAGGTGTAGACGTACTTTTTTTGGTCCACTCTATAAAGCCTCAAACTCAACGCTTTTTCTGACTCTTTGAATTGAAAAAGCTTCCTGGATGGGAAGCAAAATGTCTTCATACTTGGAAACAAGGTCCAGTGGATTGTTTTTTTGAAATGACTGACCTGAAAGACAGAGAATCTTCATCAGCATACGTTTTGTTTGAAATTATCCAAAGCTGTTTTTTTTTTTTATGTGCTGATGCTGCTGCTTGGAAACACCACCTCTCTGTTATCTGAAGGTAATAAAAAAGGAAAGAAAACATGTTGAAATATGTGCTTTCATTGTGCAGCCAGGGTCCCTCAGCTGCCTGGTCTTCTGCAGCAGTAACATCATTCCTCACTATTGGATTTATCTGAGGCCAGCTGCTGCTGAAGGCTATTTATCACATCTGTATGTGTGGATATATGTGGCCTGCAGAGACGCTTCCCTCCAAATAAATCAGAGCCTGTAAAAATCTGGATGGATGTTTTTTATTTCAAATGAATTAATGGTAAATTTGAGGGTCTAAATCTTCTCAACTTGCCCAGCAGATGCAAAACAAAGAGCAGACAGGGATGAGACGCCACCTCGGACCCCGACAGGCAACGCCCCGTCCTCAGAGTCTGATATCGACGTCTCCAGCCCGAGCAACGAGCACGTGTCTTCCAGCAACAATATAGTAGTTTCCCAAGAGGAGGACGAGAGGCTGGCCAAAGAGCTGTCGATGAAAGAGGCCGCGGCCCACGACCTCTCCCACCGCCCTAAACGACGACGGTTCCATGAAAGCTACAATTTTAACATGAAGTGTCCCACACCAGGATGCAACTCGCTGGGTGAGGAGCTAAACTCTGTTCCCCCACCTTTTTTTTTTTATTTTGATCTCCAGCTCAAATGTCAGAAGCCTTTAAATTTACTGTCTTTCATCTGCAGACATTTTTATCTGTTCTCACCCTCCCTCCATTTCTCCCAGGTCATCTAACAGGAAGACATGAGAGACATTTCTCCATATCAGGCTGCCCGCTCTACCACAACCTCTCTGCTGATGAATGCAAGGTACACATATATTTATAGACCAAATTCAGTGAGATGATGACATCTCCTGCAACCGTGCATCCGGAAAGTAACAGCTCTTCTATTTTTTCCATGTTTTATAGTATTCCAAATCTTATTAAATTAATCTTTTTCTTCTGAGATGCTGTGAATACTTTACTTTTTCCACTCCAAGTAGGCTGGATTGATATCTTTCTAAATAAATCTGATCGTTCGAGTATTTATTAAATGTGAAAGCTTTTGGCTGATTTCTGGCGGAGAAGAAACCATGCTAACGCTCAGCTAGCTCGTCTTACTTGCTACCAAACATTCTTCCCCTTCTTCCCAGTGAGTCTTATAAAGTTTGGGAAATGTATGAAAACTCCACTGACGATGAGCACAGGGTCTGCGTTTTTTTTTTTTTGCTAACGCTGGCTGTTTTAGAATCTACATTCTTGATCTCAGAGTGTTGGACCCAATATTCAAGGCGAGACAGGCAATGGGAAAGTTCAAAGCGTTTATTAGAAAACAAAGACAGAAACACGGGGTTGCTGCGGCGGGTTCACTGGATTTTCTGTCCAAGATAGAATCTGAGGTTAGTGAATTTAAAGTCGTAGGGAAGCGGTCGTTCCAACCGTTGCATTTCTGAATTCTCCCGAGCGGTGCACGACTTTACACGAGTGAATAAAGTAAATGTGATTGGTCGTTTATCAAGGGGGCGGGATTTTTGTGGCAGAAGGTTCACAAGCAAGTGCGGTTGTGGCCGGTTTTTGTCGGAAGCATCTTGCTAACCAGTTAGCAACTTAGTGCTACTTGGTCCCAATGGGAAATTCCATTGGGACCAAGTAGCAATAAATTGGTGGCTTTAGTCGATTTTGTGATATATCGTGATATTCGGCCATTAAAAACAAAACAAAACATTTTTACGTAAAACAATGAGGGAAAATGGGCTACCTCTGCACCCCCACTCTGGCAGATGGCGCTGTGGAGCCATTTTGCTGTGCGGGCAGCGCCATGTCTGTAGCTGAGGCAGACGGGGAATGACTGAAACCCCAAACCACATGGATCCCAATATAATTAAATGATCGATATGTTCTGATGAACATTTAGAGCACTTGCTTTTTTATTTACATTTAATTTTTGATAGCTGGGAAAAATATTGCAATATATATATATTAATATTGCAATATCGTGAATATTTCGTATTGTGACCCAGGTACGGTGACACGTATCGTATCACATCAACCATGCCAATACGCACCCCTAATTTTGATATGGATATATTGTACTGCCTTAATTAAATGTGTGTAGAGATATGAAGCTAGAATGGTTTAATGTTGCTCAAAATAACACATTTACACTTGGTTTCATGCGATACATAATAAGCTACATGCCTTTAGGTTTTGGTTCATCAATGAGCTGCCATTCATGTTCCTTTTTCTCTGTAGAGCTCCATAAAGATTATTTCTGACTCATTCCACAGATTATTTGAGTTGCATCTGGGCTTTAGAACAATCTCTTCATTTTTGTTTTTTTAGCAGGTTCTTTATTTAGCTCCATCTGGGGCTGCAACTAACGATTATTTAGCAAATTTATTAAACCGTTAATTATTTTTTCGATTCGTAGCCAAAGGTTCCTTAAAGAAGACTTCTTACTAAATTAAACCATGTGAAACTAAAACTTTTCCACTTGATGAGTTCTGGATTGAACATATTGACAGACAAAAAAGTTTTTTACTTCATAAATCGGAAAGATTTACATATTTCTTTTACAATTTTGGTATAATTGCTGCTCTAAGTTAGCCTCGTGACACCATCCTGATCTCGCGAGCTTTCAAGGTTTCACTCGCTAATCAG